CTGAAATAGGTGTACAAAAGGCTGACCTCCCTGCCTCAAGGTGGGACCAAGTGTACGGAACAATTCATGCTCCAGACCTCCCCATGGTATCAGGCTGAAGCTCCACTCAAGCTGAGGCCGTATCCTTGCTCAGCCTCTTCCCCATTCTATCCTGCTCCTCTCACTCCCTCTCCTGAGAGTGCTCTGCAACAAAGCAAGTGCATCAAAATTCTCAGAGCAGGCTCAGCTTCTAGGGAACAAGGTCCTTGTAAAAATTTGAGGGAGACTAGAGGGAGAAGTGAAATGTGCTGAAATAGTTAAAATTGAACTTCTTCACCAAGCAGGGCTGCAGTAGCTGGCCAGAAGAGGCATGCTTCAAGTAGTCACAGTCAATCTTCAGAGATCAATACAGCTGTCAGATTGATGGGTATCACGAGGGACCCAGAATGCTTTCCTGCAGTGGCCTGAGAGAATTACTGTTCTGAGAAAGCACAGGCTTCTTTGTACTACACATCACGGGCTTACTTATCTCCTAACTATTGCTTACCCGGACTTGTGTGTCCTTCCTCTGTCATTAGCTAGGTAAACAACTCATCCACCATCAATACTATGAAACCAGTAAGATCCCCAATTGCTGCCAAGAAGGGCCAGCACGTGGGCGTGAATTCCTCAACATTTGCCCTAGCAGAAGATCTTCATTTCTGGGCACAGGATGGCTAGCTCATTATTTTAGACTAATTAGGTAATTCTGCATCTTCATACTCTGCTGGAAATAACTGAATCTCTAAAGAGCACGCATATGGCACTCACGAAGTTTCCAAGAGAACCTACTGAGAGGAATGTCATTGGCTGAGAGCCTCCAGCTGCTGCAACTTCAGATCCACTCAGTGCTCACACTGAGGTCATGCTGCTGCCAGCAAATGATTAAACATGGCAGGGTACTAGAGCCAGATCATTTCTGCTGGGACTTTCCTGACAACGCTTGCTCTGAGGCTCCCCACTGGCATTGCTGTGACTTTCTCTGAGCTGTACTGCAGTCACTGGCTCATCCTATCCAACGCCCCCTCTAAAGGCATTTCTCCCATTAAATCTTCTGCATTTCTCATTACATCCTAGCATCTGATTTTCAAAGGACCCAAGCTGACATACTGAATTTGAGCCCTGAGGTCTGATTTGTGAAGCAGTGGGTGGAAAATGAAGATCAAGTACAGATAAGACATTACAATGGAATACAAGGCAGCCACACTTAAAATGGCAAACATTTGCTAATTGGCATGGAAAGATGTTTATGATAAAGTAAATTGAGTAATTACAAAACAGCATATAGCATGGATTCTAAAGGTTTTTTTTAAAGGAGTATATACAAACATTTTTAACAGGCTCTACATCAAAATTTTAAGACTGGTTGGCAGGAATCTTTATTTTTGTCCATTTTGCACATTTGCATTTTCAGATTTTCCCATAATAAAAATTGTTTCAGCCCAGAGGAGGAGTACTTTATTGCCGAGAGCGCTTTGGGAAGATCCTACTGGCTTACAATTCCATAGAGCCCTGGGGCTGCCCAGGAAGAGGTACCATGTGAGCACCAACGGCCTGCAGAAGAAGGGAACTTGAAGACATGGGAGAACAAAGACCTGAGGGAAGAGGGTCAGCCCCATAGCAAAGTAGTTAAGTTTGTGTGCTCTACTTCAGAGGCCTGGGGTTCATGGTTTTAGATCCTGGGTGCAGACCTATACACTGCTCTTCAAGCCATGCTGTGGAGGCGTCCCACATACAAAATTGAGGGGGATTGGCACAGATGATAGCTCAGCAATAATCTTCCTCAAGCAAAAAGAGGAAGAGTAGCAATAGATTTTGGCTGGGGCCCAATCTTCCTTACCCCCCACCCCCAAAAAACAGACCTGAAGGAAAGCCCCAGGGGGAGTGCATGAGATGTCTCCCTCCCTTGTCAAAGCAGGGATCAGTTCAATTTCTATCCTCACCAGCACCACCTATCTGATTCCCATGTCTTTCTATTAGGTCCCCATAGACCTGCCTATATGTGTTCATTATAGCTTGTTCAATCATTCAACCAATATTTATTGAGCCTTATGCTCAGACAGGCCATCTGTTAAGTTCTGAGGATTCTGGGATGTGGCAGACACCAATAGTTGCATCTCAATATCCATTCTCTCTCTTTTCCTTGTTAAGAAAATCCCGATTTTGTTCAGGGCAGCCATGTGACTGGTTGCAAACCACATGTCTCAACCCTTCTTTCAGCTAAGAGGGGGCTGGCTCAGTTAGCAGACATCTTTGCCCTTCATACTTCACCCTTTCTCATCTCTGGAAAGTAGACGGGATGCTGGAGAGGAACAGCTTGGGATCATGAAAAAAACACTAGGGACAAAGACCATATACTAAAGATGTTGGAGCAAAAATCTTAGTGGAGCAAAAATCATAAAGGAATCGGTGACTGGTGGCATTAATAAATCACTAGAATGACCCTCCAGACTTTTTGTTATGTGAGAAAAACAAACCTCCTAATCTGTTTAAACCGCTATTTTGGTGGTTTCTGTAACTTGCTGCTCAACACAATCCTAAATGCTTCAAGCAGAGAATGAGTCATAAGCCCTACTCTGAGTATGGGCACAGAGCAGATAAGTAAAAGGCAATTATACAACAGTCCTCTTAGCAGTACATAGGGAGATAACCTGGTTCTCTGGGCACACATTTCAAGGACAACCCGCAAGAGCTGGGGGATCAGAGCAGATTTCCTAGAGAACATAACGTTTGGGTTGAGTCATGAAAAGTAAGTAGGGATTAGGGAGACAAGGGGAGATAGAGAGAGTGAATGGTTCTGGGCAGAGGTCTTTTACAATGGCTGGAGCATAGAATGGCAGCGCTGCACAAAGAGGGCAGGGATGGCAGAGGTGGGGCCTGGGGTGCAAGTCTTAATACTATAACTTAATACTATCACCAAATCTTAGTACTATGAGTAACTAAGGAGCTAGATCATTATCCTTAGGACAATGGAGCAGTCCATTTGCATTTTGGTAAGAACATTTGTACTGCTCAAATAGAGAATGGATGGGCAGGGCAGGGTTGAGTGTAGCATTACTGATGCTGTCACCAGGGAGAAAGAAAGTGATGGCCAAGAGCCTCAGAGGATGGGAAGCGATCCCAGGAAGGTGAAGGGGTCTGAGGGATCAGGAGGCCACCCCTACCTCCAAGCCCTGAAGTGTAAGAGTCATACAAGAGGGAGAAGCAATAGTATGGGAGCATTAGGAGAACGACTGACCCAGGACAGAGCCTGGGAGGTTTCCATAAAGCCAAAGGTGGAGGGAGCATTCGGGGATGATGCTCTGTTTATAGGGATAGTGCTTCTGAGGTTTCATGGAAAGGTCTGCAGGGCAGGGGAAATGGGCAGGTGGCTGGAAGAGAAGATGCCAGAACAGTGTGGGCAGAGGAAAATAAAGATAAACGCTGTTTACCACTGAAGGCAGGGATGTAAGGCTCAAGGGGTTTAGCTAGTATCCAAGAGAATTCATCTCTGCAATCCCAGCCTGGAATCAATCACTCCTCTAACAAAGGAGTGGGACACATACTGTGTGTGCAGAGATTTGGGTTTTAACAAGCCCTGTTAGGACTTCTGATCCCCACTAAAGTTTGAGAACCAGTGGTCTACATCTGTGTTTCTCAAACTTAAATGTGCATCCCTTGCAGTTCCTGCAAAGTGCAGATTCTGAGTCAGTAAATCAGGGATGAGGGTGGAGAGTCTGCACTTCTAATAAGCCACCAGGGGATGCTGCTGTTGCTTGTCAGGGACTACACTTTGAGTAGCAAGGGTCTAGACAAGAGAACTCTACTGTCTCAACAGATCCAAGAATTGGGTACTTTAGCCTACAGAGGGCTGGGAGATGATTTAGCGGCATTCTTCAAAGGATGTTTTAAGTTTTTTAAATTGAAGTCAAGGCAATAGATAAACGGGTGAGCTTTGAAGCAGGCATAATATAGGATAGGCTGCCTTCCCTTTGCCTAGGTAATGAAGTCTTGTAGAGAGCTCGTCCAAGGCTTCTGTCAGCTTGGGATTTCCAGAGGGATTTTCCTCTCTGCCCCGCTCTGCTGGCATCTGGAGTCTCTACTGCATTAAGACTGAAGGCGACACACCGAGGGAAGGCAAGAGAAGGGTAAGGTGGAGAGAGGTTATTAACAATGCTGAAGAAGTGATGGAATTTTAAGTAACTGCTGCCATGATGGCAGCCAAAGGAAGCCGGAGTCAACAGCTATGGCTTCTTCCAGATTCTCAGAGAACCATGCTGGGGGTGGGGAGGAGCTGGACTGTGTGTCACAAATGCAATTGGTCCCCTAGACTGTCAGCTGAACTAGGCAAAGACAAAGCAGGAGCTGAAGTCACCAAATCCATTTAGACTGTGATGTGTGGACCAGCAGAACAAACTGTTGTCTGCAGGAACCAACCCACAGCCCCAGGCCAGTGAAAGATGCATTTGGGAAAGGCAAGCCCTTTGCAGCCCCCACCCTCACCCTCAGTTCTCTGTGTGCCACTGGGCAAGGCTTTCCCAACTAACAGCTCTCTCCACGAGGAGATCCACTGAGGAAAGTGTCTGTAATGACATCTTCACAGTTCAGAGACAAGCATTATGAATACTAGTTAAATTTGCCAGGCTTTGGAATCAGACTGTCTGGGCTTGAATAAACTCCAGCATTTATTAGCTGTGTGTCCTAGGATAAGTCACTTTACCTTTCTGTGCTTCAGTTTCTTCAACCAGCTATATTTGTTCTCTCTCTTTTACCAGGCTATTGGCTAAGGGCAGTGACTTCATTTTGCTCATTTTTGCCTTCTGGTGGCATCTGATTGAGAAATTTAAAGTGTCTAACTGATTATTTTAAGATTTAAGATGACAGCTCTGAGGAGTAAGAGTCCAGAGAGGGAGACAGGAATGCCTGTGTATCTGTGGCAGTGGTGCCGGGAAGGCTTTGAGGAAGAGCCTCAAGTGCCGTTTAGGCTAGGATGGCATACTCACATTTCAGAGGAGGTGACAGCTGCAGAGGTTTAAATGATGTCATCAGGCTTCAGTTCCCTTCTTTTAACTTCGGAGCCCAGCTTGCCCCAGCATTGGTTTCATCTTCAGGTAAGCTCTTCTCATCAGACCAGATGGAGCCTCTAAGTAACGCTAGCTGAAAGAATTTCCTTTCTTAATAATTCTAACAAACGTCCTAGAATTGGGCCTTTCATGGGTTCTGATTAGTTCATGTACCAGCATCTCTGGCCAGGGTCTGCTCTTATTGGCCAGGTCAGGGTCATGCTCAGACTGAATGCTAAATAAGGGTGGGGCCACCTCTACCTAGTCCACCTGGGCTGAGGTTAGGGGAAGGGTGGTGCCCCAAGGAAATGGGGGTGTTGCTGCCAGAAGCAGCTGGGGATGTGCTTTGCAGGCAGAAACAACATCCAACCCTCAGAGCCTCCAGCCCTGCACCCCTGACTCCCTGACTCTACTTGTGAAGCCGGGTACCTGAGGGTTCCTGTAAATATTCAACAGGAACATGATTACCCTTAGACCTTGTGAACAACACAGACATGGATGAAAAGTTAATCTCATTGATTTGCCGTTTTCTTGTTTAACCTGAGGGGAGACTCAAGGGTCACAAGGATTTATAAGCTTGTTTTGCAGAAGAAAAAGCCTTTAAGGAAGTTACAATCACCAGATTACCAGCCCCCAGCTGCTGCTGACGCCCAGAAGTCTGATTGCCCAAGGGCTTACCTGGAGTGAAAGACACACAGATTTCCCCTTTGTTTCTCTGAAACTCCTCTTCTCCAGCCCCTTAGCTCTATAAAGACTCCTGCTTTCTTCTTTCATTAAGGCAGATTTGAGAGAACCTATCCTCCTGCCTTCTTATTTTGGCCAAGTTAAATAAGTCTTTCTCCATCTCCAAGCACCAATATCTCAGTGATTGGCTTATTGCACAGTGGACACACAAACTGAAGATTAAGAGGCTCAGTATCACTCACATCTCCGTTCTCCTTACCAAGAGAGCTGGCCATAGGCCAGTGCCTTGGCCACATTCCTTATCCCTCTTATCTTTCCACTGCCCCCTGCAATTCCCGAGCTCAGCCCACAGGTATCACCAAGATTCAGGAACGACCAGATTCAGTGACTCCACACATGGAGCAGCCCAGCCACGATTTGGTTTAACTTGGGTCTTTGTGGCCAAGACTTATTACATTATTTCGATGAGAAAAAACATTCTGAGTTCCACACAACTGCTCAACAAATGAAACTTTGGAAGATAAGTATTCAGAAGCTAGGGCTGCTCTGCTTCCATCTAGACCAACATCCATTTGTCAATCTTCCCACCTTTAGTCAAATAAAAACAGCTGGCCAGGGTGCCCTCAAGCAAGACCCAAGACTCATCCTTGGCCCCAGACAGTAGTTTAAACGTTTTCATACTCTGACCACTTTGTCCATTGTGACGCTCCTGCCCTCATCTCACTTCAGCCTTTTCCTAGTTCCAACCCCAACACCACAGTCTTCCCTTCCCACTCGCTCCTGCCAAGTCAGGCAGCACCCCTGCTGGGACGAAGTAGTAATGATTGTCCTTATCATTAAGGGATCATGTCCCCTACTTTTCTAACCACTCTGCCATTAAAGTCACAGCCAGGTGGGTAGCAGAAGCAGGGGCAGCAAGAAGAGTTGAGAAAAAGGTATTCACAGGAAAAGGCAGCCAACAGGTAAATCTCCTGAAATGAGGTGGGACTTCTGGGAAGGCAGCAGCTGGAGCAGAACTAGGGACAGAAAACAAGATTGTGGTGGCTTGCATTATTATAGCTATCAAGGTTCTTTCAGTGCAAACAAGAGAAACCCAGTTCAGCCCAATGAAGAGAGAAATGCAATTTATTAGAGGGATATGGGTACCCATCAAATAGGAAGAAAATCTGACCAGCCATGTCTCAGAGAGGACAGGAACCAGAATAGTTTTAAGAATCTAGACAGAAGGAACTGTTTTCCATCCTTGTAAGATTTATTCAGGCTTCAAATTTCCGGGAGTCTGGTTGACCCACCCCTGAGAGCCCACCAGTACTACATGAAGTGGAGAGAAGCTTGTTCCCCAAAGGAAAGCAGAGGGGCTGTTACCAAGAGGCAGGCAGAAACAGTGATTCTCCGCTACAGGGGTTGTAATACTGTGTTAGTGGTTTTCCCATCTAGACTTCGGGTTTACCTTTCTGTGCTGTTTCTCTCTTCCTCAGTATGAACTAGAGAGATAAAGTTACTGAGCAATTCATTCAGTAACAACATTCCACAGGCGTTTTACTGAGTGCCTGTGTCAGACCTTGTGCTGGTCACTGCACACACAAAGGCACATATAAAACATCATCATGGTCACCAAGGTCTAGAAGGGAAGGTGGATATGGAACTCATCAAGGGCAATCCGGTATTGTCGGTGTTGCAGAAGAGGTGTGTACAGGGAAAATGGGGTCTAGGGAGGCATGGCCAGGTCCACCAAGGCAATGGAGGCTTGAGAAAAGCTTCCTCCAGGAGGTGACCCTGAGATAAGCCTGGAAAGAGGAGGTAGGCAGGGGTCACCAGGAAGACACTTGGGTCAAGTGCCTTGCAGAGTGGTGTTCTAGACAGATATGGAGTAGTCAGAGCAAGAGCAAAGGCACAGAGACACCAAATGCTGAGGATGAAGCGGGGTGTGGGGACAGATAAGGCTAGAGAGGAAATCACAGGCCAGGCCAGATGGTGGAAGGCCATAAGAAGGACTTTGGGATGAATCTGTAGGCGAAGGGGAGCTCTACAGGGATTTGAAGCAGAGAAGTGATGTGATCTGGTTTGCATTTTAGGAAGATCCTCCTGGCCTAGAATGAAGACTAGAAGTGTAGAAAGTAGTTAGAAGATTATTGCAAAAATCTGACCAGGGGCCGGGACAAAGGCAATAGCAATGAGGATGAGGAAGAGACAACAAGTAGGTGCAGCGTTAAGAAGGAGCCATCTATAGGACTTAGAAATGATTTGTTAGGAATGGCAAGGGAGAGGGAGGCATCTAGGATTACCCCTAGGCTTACGGCTTGGGTGAAAAGATGGATGGTGACACCGTTCTCCAAAACCAGGGTATTCACCAAAGAAGAGGGATAGATTTGGGAGAGAAAAGATAAGTTCAGCGTCAGATATTGGATCTTGGGATGTCTGTGGGGCACCCAGGAAGAGCTCTCTAGTAGAACACTGGATCTGAGTATACCAGAGCTGAGAGATATCAGCATGTGAGAGATGGGTGTGTCGAATGTGGGGAGTGAGAAGCTGGTCTTAGGCCTGAGTGCTTGAGAAATGAGAATGAGGAGCTGGGAGAGGAACCTGAGAAGGAACTGTCAGGGAAGTAGGATGAGAACCAAGAGAGTATTGTCTGAGAAGCCAGCAGAGGATGATGATGTAATAAGAGGAAATGTTCAACAATATCAAATGCCTCAGAGAGATGCCCCCCAATGAGGCTCAAAAAAGTCCATTGGATTTGACATTTATAAGGTCATTGTTGACTGAAGTTAGAGATCTTTCAATAGAATGGTGGGGCCAGAGGCAAGACTGGGGTTATTCCAAGGGTGAGTGGTGTGTCAAGGAGAGGGAGCCATGACTCCTAACATACCTCCCCATGCCCGTGACCCTGTGCTGCTGGCATCAAGATGACCTGGGGCTCTAAGGGATTATGAAGTAATTCATTCGTTCATTCATTCATTCAACATGTGCTAGTACCTGGGTGCTAGGCACCCAGACCCAAAAGATGAGTAAGACCCAGTCACGGCCCTAGAGATACTCATAATTTAATTGGAGAAACACAAAGATCACATATGGTGCCATGTGATGGAGTCTGTGTCGTAACTGAGTTGTGAAGGATGAAGGAAATCAAGGAAGTCTTCGTGGAGAAGTAAAAATTGAACTGGGTGTTTAGAATCTGTCACTTAGGCGATGCCCGGCCAAGAAACCCCTTGAAGCAGGAGAGGGCCATGATCAGCTTTTTGTTGTTTCATGTGGAAAAGTGATGAATTTTCACAAATTTAATACTTTCACATAACCAGCACCCAGATCAAGAAACAAAGCAGAAGTCCATCAGGTCTCCTTCCAGCCAGTGGCCCACCACTGTCATGACTTCCCCACCCTCACCTCTTTTGTTCTTTTTACATTAAAAACGAGTATTCAGTACTCATTGGTGTCTTCTGTCTTTTGCGGGAGATTCTTCTGTATTGCTGCATATAGTCATAGATTGTCAGTCTCCTATTTGTCTTTTAAGAAAACGTGACAAAGATGTGAATGAGTGGATTATGAAACTCAGTCCCTTCCTTTGCTTTACAGTCCTGGTACATATAATTAACCAATGACCTTGGCCTTGCCCCTCACCAAGTTTAAATGGGTGGGGCTGGCTCTCTCCACTTCCATGTCTCTCTCCTTAAGACTCTATTCATTTCTCAGATTGCCTTCAGTGTTCACTGAAGTGCAGGTTCTCTTGTATGTCCATGGGTGCACATGTGTGTACATGTCTGTGTGTTTGTGTGTGTATATGTGTGTTGGCAGGGAGAGAGGGGAAGGGAACTCTGTAGGGTTTGTTCCAGCCTCTGCCTGGTTTGCAGAGGTGGGAGGTATGGCTGATAGGCTGTCCCAGAAAGAGATAGGCCAGCCTGCAGGGCCCCAGCTGTGATGGACAGAGGGGGAAGTGGTTGCTGTGGATGGAGTGGCAGAGTATGAATGATGGAGCCAGAGCTCAGGCTGTCCTAGTAATGAAGAGACCACCCTCAGAGGAGACCTAAGTCATTACTGTCATTCTAACTGCCACCCTCTCTAATGCTCAGGAAGCTTGCAAATCCCACAGCAATCCATTCCCCATTTCTGCTGAAAGAAAAATGAAAAATCATATACTGGGAGGAATAAGTAATTCCTGCCTGTCTTCTTAAAAATACAGCAAGACCCTGCAGAGAATATGCTTTCAAACCAAGGCCTTCAGGTACCGAGCAGTCAGGCGGCTTCTGCCGCCAAGGTCTATGCTGCCTGACAGCTCCCCATAAAATTCCTGAAGGAAGAGGTTATATCACCAATAAAACCTACCCTCGGAGTCTCTCTTGGCTGAGTTTTGTCCCAGGAGCCCTTTAGTCTTTCCCTCACCTATTCTAGGTTAATAAGCTGGTATTTTCAAGGGCAGCTCTAAATGTAAAGGAGAGCTGGCTTTTTTTCCCTCTCCACCTAGGATGAAGATTTGTTTTTTTTCTTAAACTGACAGCATAAATGTTTTGAGTCCCAACCTGCCATTTGAAAGGACGCTAGTACAAATCCTGTAGGGCCAAGAACCTTGTGGGGAGTGGTAAACTGAGGGGTCTGGAAAGACGATGACTCTTTGCCTCTGATATATACATTGACTTTCTCTCTGTAAGCACCCAATCTAGTGCCATGGTTTCTCTCTCTCTCTCTCTCTGTGTTTGTGTGTGTGTGTGTGTGTGTGCGCGTGTGTATGTGTGTCTATTTGTGAGTTTATTTGTCTGTGAGAGTCTGATTATCTTATACACTGGCAGGCTGGCCTGTGGCTTAGAAATAACATCCTCCTATAGCCTTAGAGTGTTGATTGGGAGCCAAGACCCTGAGAGTAGAAGGGTCTGTCCAAGAACTTCTAGCTTGGGGGCAGAACTGGGACGAGATAGTTTCAAAAGCTATTTTCTCTTCCCTCCTAAACTGAAGATTCTTTTTTCTGTTGACCTCTCAGCAGCCTGCTGATGAGAGCCTCTGATAACCCGTGCCATCTTTCTGTCATCTACGTCACTGTCTTCTAGTCTCCGTGAATATTTTCCTGATCACATCAAGATTTAATCTCAAGAACAATATGGTATAATAACCACATGAGGCTGTTAATGGCTGCCGATGGGTCATGTGGAGTCCCTGTTTCAAGAGTATTTGCATCTCAGCAGGGGTAGAGGCATGCACACGCCTCCAATGGTTGTTCACGTGATTTGCACTGTTCCCATGCCTCACCTACTCAGCACATGGTAGGTTAAACTTCTCCATCTTTGTTTAATCAGGTGTGGCCACATGACCTTCTTGGCCAATGAAATATAAGTGGAAGCGACGTATGTCACTTCTGGTGGAAGCTTTAAGAACTAGTGTGCGATTTGGCACATTCCTTTGTCCTGCCTCAGCTATCGAAAGCATATGTTGAGGTGGGTCTACTGGCTCACTTTAGACCTGTAGGAAGTGAGAAATAAGTTTTGTTGGGTTAAACCTCTGAGATTTGGGGAATGTTTGTTACTACAGATAGCCTAGCATATCCATTCCGATAAATATGTTGTGGAATTTCAGGCATTGAAAATTGTGTGCCCAATAGAACTGGATGATTAGAGGATGTGGGCCATGCCATTGTGCCAAAGACTTCTTCTGTAACCACCATGCACCAAGCCATAGTCTTAGGCACAGGGAGTACCCAGCATCTGTTGGCTGTACTTATTGGGGCACTCGTTGCCTTGAAGTGGAAGGAGTGTTAGAAAGTGAGCCCAGGCCACTAAATGCCTACTTCATTCCTCTTCAGGGCCAGACACCTCCATGTGTGTGTGTGGCCAGGTAGAGACTGTTGGTCAGGCCCAGAAGATATAGCATGGGCTATAAGCCCAGGCTCTGTACATTATTGGATTGTAATTGGCATTTTTTTGCCCTGATTTGACTTTTCCCCATGAACGACCTATATTGCTTGAACCTAAAACCTTTGTTGCTTTGCTCTAAAAGTAAAATACAAATCTTTGTGGTCAGTGCTATAGGAGGCAGCCAAATCCATCCCTGTGTATTCTCAAACAGAGCCCCAAATTTATCCATCATAAATTCAATTCCACAGAGTTTTATCAAGAACCTACTATGTGCCCTTAGGGATGGTCCCTGCCTTAGAATTCACAGTCCGCAGAGAAATACCACATTAAAAAATAACTACAAAATATGAGTACTGTATATAGACCATTCATTCAATAAACGTTTACCAAAAACCATCATGTCCTAGATAATAGAAGTTACAGAAAGTGTAGTTGTATGACTAGAATGTGATAGAAACATTTAGGAGCAATTGTCTCATCCTGGAGGAAAGAAGTGTTCTAGTTACTGTTGCCTCATAACAAACCACTCCAAAACCTTCTGGCTTAAAATAGCCATTATATTAAATTCACAGATTCCGTGGCTTGGAAATCCAGGCAGGGCACAGCAGAAATGGCTTATCTCTGCTTCTCAACATCTTGAAAGACCCTAAGGCTGTACATGACCTCATGGCTGGGGACTGGAGTCACTGGAGGCTCTTTTACTCACACGTCTGGCACCTGGGCTGGAATGACTCAAAGACTGTGCTCACCTGGGACTGACAGCCCACATGTGGCCTTGCAATACGGCTTGAGTTTCTCACAGTATGGAAGCTAGGTCCCAAGAGGGAGCACCTCAGAAGGGGTGGCAAAGAGTGAGCGTTCCAAGAGAAGCAGAACTTGGGAAGGCCTTTTGTGACACAGCCTTTGAAGTCTTATAGTGTCACTTCCTCTGCATTCTCTTGGTTTGAAGTGAGTCTCTAAGGTCAACCTACATTCAAGGGGTGAGACATAGATGCTGCCCTCAATGAGAGAAGTGTCCAAGAATTTGCAGACATGTTTTAAAATCACTGTAAGGGAGGTACAGTGTTGTCTGATTAGGTTCTATTTTTATCTTCTTAGTAACAGAACCCCTATGTTGTTAGACAGTTAACTCGGGTTTTCTTTAATCTACATTTCCCAGCCTCCCTTAAAGACGGGGGTGTCCAATGAGAGGTGAGTAGAAGTCATTGGATGAGACCTCTTGGGAAGTTCTTAAAAGGGTATACTCTTTTGGAAGTATCTGTGTTCCCTCCTCCCTTTCTTTATTCTTCCTGTCTGGAATGATATAGTTGGAGTTCCAATAGCCATTTTGAGACCATGAGGCAACCTGGAGGCTCAAACCTAAACATTAAGGATGACAGAATAGAAAAATTAAAGAAAACTGTGTGCTGGGAGACACTGTGGAGCCAACATACCAGCCCTGTCTTCCTGCTTTTGAGTTTCGTGTTATGAGAGAGAAAAGCAAGCCTCTTATTTGGTAATCTCTGCCACCAAAATCAATCCCTAACGGACACAGAGGATCAGACTGAGTTACAGAAAAGAGGAAATGTCACTTATTTTTATAAAGCCACCCTTTCACAAGTGTTTGTTAAACTGAGTACGAGGTGGCCAGCTGAACAATGTGAGGAAGAGCATTTCATGCAGAGGGAAAACTATGGTTCAAATGTCAAGGACATGGAGAAGTTTATGCTGAAGACACTTCGTCACTCTCTCTTGAGAAAGGAGATGGATAAGAGGCTGGTTACAAATTATATTTGGTGATTCCAGAGGTACAAATAATGGAACCTCAAGAAAGTTGAATGAGATAGAGTGGCACACGGATATTTCACAAAAAGCTGTCATTAAATATTCCCTCATTTTGTGTCTCAGGTAATAAAGAGACACAGAGAAAATCCAAGTACCTGTATAAATGGTAAATAACTGCTTGGAGGCTTTCAAGCTGATTTTGGAGCTGTCTCCACCTCAGTCATGATGAGGGATCTTAATGCTGTGAGTATGCCACTGATGTTATTCTTGACTTCCATTTTAGAATGACACACTGGGATATGGTCACTCCAAGTGCCAGAAAATGAAACCATGTACACTGTAAGGGATCAACTTGCATCTGATAATTATTAATATAATCAGAAACAGTGAAAAAAATAATGTTTTGGCACCAATGTTTCATTCTGCATTTAAATTTTCTGGAACAGCTTACTTTCAGAGGCTCCAAGGAGGCTGTGTTATTTCTAAAAGCAAACAGAAGATTATTTTAATTTCTTGGGTACACAGTCCAAAGGAAAACTAAAAAGATAAGCCAAACTCTGTTACTTAGTTTCTGAGCAAGCATCCAACTCTCACTTTCGGCTGCTGTGCATATGATGGTAAGAGCACGGGCTCCTAAGGGCCAGCTCCCTGAATAGCTGTGTGATCTTAGGCTAGCAACCTAGTCTCTCTGTGCCTCAACTTCCTCAATATAAAATGGTAATAATTTATGCTGACTTCAGAGAGTCATTGTAAAGTTTAAAAGAGGTCAGCCTTGGAAAGTGCTTAGAACAGTGTTTGGAATATAGGAAGAATTCAATAAATGTCAGTTATTGCAAATGCTAATTTTTTAAGTACACCTGTACCTCTTAGAACATTATAGCTCCTTCGGGGATGTGCATCTTCCCGTTTTCACACAGTGCTAGTGTAACATCGTCCACTTAATCGGAGCTCAGTAAATAAAGCAGTAAATATTTGCTGTGAAGTTGGTTGAGTTTCATACCACCTTCAAGGAGTTGGCTTACACGGAAAATTGGAAAGGAGCAGGGCTGGGGAGAAATTTGTTTTTTAGATTTTACAGCACATATTCATGATCCAGAAATCCATTTTGGTTCATTCATGACTCATTTTATTCTTCAAGTTTTTAAAAACAAAACTCAATTTAAAAGTCTATTAGGGAATTAGATAAGTAAGCAAATCCACTTTGCACTTTTCTCAAGTTATTTGATGCTGGAATAATATTTGTCTAGGGAAGTCTTTTATTGAAGCTAATGTTTGGGTGCCATTCTCTCCTCATTGCCAACCTCTCCATCCATCCATCGATTCATCCACTAAATCGTCACTGAGCTCCTACTATGTGCCGTTGTCAGTGCTAGGCAGTGGGTCCACGGTGCTGCATAAGTCCCCGCTCTAATGATGCTCACAACCTGCTGGAAAGACAGACTTCAAGTAATCACACAAAGAAATGCAAAACTGTAACTGCAACAAGTGTGCTGAGGAAAAACAGATACCGTCATGTTTCCTGAGGAACTAAGGCATTACATAAACAGGTATCTGCATGTGTGTGTTCACACTCTTGTACTTTCACATACATATATGGATATACACAAATGTCCAAAGTGTGGTTTTAAATTTTCGATGTCATGAATTTTGTTAGTCAACAGTTACAATTTAAACCAGACTGCTACTTTTGTGTAACAGTGGGAGGAAAATAGATGACCATCTTTGTGCATATCTGTCTCTTGCTCCTTTCAGACTATTAATAATGGCTGACATTTGCTGCGTGCTAACAGATACTGTGTTAAAAGCTTGAATGTGTTCCCAACAACACTATGGGGCAGGAACTACCATTATCCCCATTTCCAGATGAGGGACTGAGGCAAGGTGAGGTCAGTACCTTGTCCTAAGTCAGCCATGGCAGCTTGCGTCTCTGGTCATCTGCTTTCGTCTTTCCTCGTCGAACACAATAGAGAAACAAATCTTGTGGAAGGCAGAGCTGTGCAGGATCTGTATGGAGATGCAGGGAGCAAGAATGTGTTGACAGTTCAATCAAACTACCACAAGAGGTGGGCTTGGGAGAGCGCTGGGTTGGAATCTCATTGACACCAACTGGCCCGTGGCTGTCCCTGAGTGAACTTAACTGCTTCCACCACTTCAACAGCCTCTTCTGTCCAGATGTGCTCTTATCTCAGTCTGTTGTTGAGGTTGAAGGCATGAATTGCCAGCTGTCTTCTGGACACCTCTACCCGATGGTGTCCAGCCCCTCAGGCTCAGTAGGACCAAATTCGTCATCCTCACATCCCATCTCCTATTTGTCTCCTTTTCTCTCAACACCATTTATGGCATGAATTTCAGATTCATCTTCAACTTCCCCACCCCCAGTGTGAAGTGGCTTACAAGGTAGGTCGATTGCATCTCAGAAACATCTTATTTAACCTCAAGATGCTTCAATCCTTTGGCTCTTGGCTGATGATGGCGTGGCTCCCAGAGCCACCTTTGAGATGTATCTTTCTCCCCTGACATTCTTTGTCCCCTCATTCCTTGAAATCTGGGTCTCTGCATGACAACCCACCCATTCGCCCCACGCCCTGAAGCTGCTTTTCTGGCCGTCTGTTTTTGTCTTTTCTCATCAAACACGATAGAGAAATGGATCCTGTGGAAGGTAGGGGTGTGCGGGATCTTGAGGTGTTGAGAATCATTTCCATGCTTGAAATGTGAATGGCTCTGGTCACACTGAAGGCCCCAAGGGATTTCTGTGACAGGAAAGTAGGTCGAATTTCTCCTTTGGGAATAGATACTGGCGTCAGCAGATGCACCACTCCTTGAAAATTGAACTTGGCTACTCCTCAAAAGCCCTTGGGTCCTCCCCAACGCCATGCTAGCCGACCCTCCAAAGGAGCTGGCTTCCGACTGCCCTGAAGTAATCTGTGAGGAAAGCCGGCTGCTCAGGTAATCCGAGGCCAGTTTCACTTCCGTGCAGAAACAGAGAACACATTGGTGGTTGCCAGAGGTGGGAGGTGAGGGGTTGGGTGAAATGAGTGAAGGTGATCAAAAGGTACAAGTTTCCAGTTACAAGATAATTAAGTCCTGGGGTTGTACTTTACAGCATGGTAACTATAGTTAACAATACTGTATTGTATAATTGAAAGTTGCTAAGAGAGTAGACCTTGAAAGTTCTCATCACAGGAAAAAATTGTAACTAAGTGTGATGATGGATATTGACTAAACTTATTGTGGTGATCATTTAGCAATATATAACATATATCAAATCTTTATGTTGAACACTTAAAACTAATACAATGTGATATGTCAATTACATCTCAGTTTAAAAAAAAAGAACTGTAGGATAGAAAGAATGGAATGAGTCATGCATGATTCACAGATCATCTCTGTTCACTGCGACGCTGAGGGGCATGTCCTGTAAAGCCCCTTCCGTGATCTGCTTGCTCCGCTCTCCACTTAACTCAAGTGAATGCGAAGGGCAACAGACAGGTGCACATGGACCTGGGCCCCAGAAACACACTCGGCTGCTCCCCACCTCTCTGTTCCTGGGAGCCTCCGAGGCCTCCTTGCCCTCCCGCAGGTCTGAGAGCTGTGCCTCAGAGTTGGTTTTACCACTTTTCCCGCAATTACTGAGCCTGAGATATTCACTCAGCACTCATTAGCAGGAGGACTTAGGGAACAAACCTGAACTTTTTTCACCTTTGAGAACAGTGTTTGCTGGAATGGAAAATTGAATCTTTGGAGGCTTGTGCATTGGATGCCCCACCCCTTGGAAGGTATGTCCTTGCCACCAAGCAAACTCTGGAAAACACTTGACAAGGCAGAAACCTAGTGCATGTTTTGCCTCTTAGGTGCTCTCAGCGAGGCTGATCTACTGTCCCTCCCACTCCTTAACGTGGTGGGAATGAAATGCTCTTCCTTCCTCCAGCTGAATCAATACCCCTGTGGTAGACGGACCCGAAGCACACAGATGGGTGGGGATCTTCTGATTTCTGCAGCATCCCGTTACCTTAGCACTTAACTCAAGGTGTGGAAATCTTTTACTTGTCTCCTCTCAGTAAGCAAGTTGGAAGAGGAGGGCAGGGATCATGA